GATAGACAGCAGAATACATCAGACACTAGAATGGCAATATGTAAATCAATGGAAGGGTAACTGATGTGATACAGCAATCTGTATACAGGGTAAAACTGGGAGTTCATAACCCACTTGAATCAAACTGTGAAATATGATATATTAAGACCTATGTAATGTTTTGAACGACCAACAATAAAAAAAAAGAAAAAAAATAGAACCTATGGAGATTTGAAGGACGTACACTTCATCAAGTATTTTCATGCCTTCTTCTAGTCTCTCAGTGATTAATGGGAGCTTTAATTTGCACATGCACTTTTACACTCATTATGGTTTGTTATGTTCCAATAGAAATATTAAAGTTCAATGAAAATCCCATGCATACTGATGAGAATGCAAAAGAAGACTGATGAAAGAATGTGAGAATCATAAGGCATAAAGTGTCCAGTTATCTTGCTAAATTCACTTTACACAGAGATTGTATTATAATGAGGACTGATAAAGGATCGATCTTACAGATATAATTAGCAATAGCAAAATCATTATATAATAAGATTGTTTTGAAGCTTTTAAAGGTAATGATCTAATATTAATGTTTTCTTCTGTTCCATCTTCCTCCTAACTTCTGCCAGTCTTCAGGAGGACATTTAATATGTTGTTTGGAGTAGTTGGGAAAGTGGGTATGATTATATAAATGAGTGATTACATTAAATATATCCAGCTGTAACCTTTACTGAATACATAACAAATAGTACTGGACATCAATAGTCATCTCAAGACATTTCAAATGCCTGGTTATTGGAGAATCATAAATACACAAACTTATTTCAGCTGTTGTCTTTATATAACTAGATAAACCAAAGATCCTTTAAATGATAATTTAAAGTGAAGCTAAAGGAAGCTCCAATGTCTTTCCTTAGGGAGCAGATGGTATTTAGTATCACTTTCCCCATGATCTGGATTCAATTTTTTTTTCTGTGTTGAACCTTACAAGATAATTAAAATTATGTTTTATAGACTAATTATTAAGACACATTAATTTTGAAGGAGTTTTTCATAACAATAGTATGTATGCATTAAGCCAGTGTACTATCTTGATCTTATACCCACTGGCATATATTTAAAGACTCTAGAATACAAGGTAGTCATTAGTTTACAAAAATGTAGTGCCTGATAATGATCGTTATGTTAGATAATTGAAGTATTTTTAGACCAAGATATATAGTCATTGCTAAAGAGGTCATACTTTAGGATAGCTCTACTACTGGGTTTGGCAAACTTTTTCTTTGATGGTCCAGAAGGTAAAGAGTTTAGGATTTGTGAGTCAATTGGTCTGTTACAACTACTCAACTCTGTGGTTGTAGTACATTCCAGCTATTAATAAAAAGGAGTATGGCTGTGTTTCAGTAAAACCTCATAGACACTGAAGTTTTGAATTCTATATAATTTTCATGTGTCAGGAAATGATGTCCTTTTGAACTCTTTTTTTTTAACCAATTTTTTAAAAATGTAAAACCAAGCAGTATACTGAATTTGTTTTGTAGACTAAAGTTTACTGAACCTTGCCCAGCAGTTGATTGTTCGGAATTAACTTTCTAATCTAAATGAAAACGGAAGATTTATTGCTTATTTTTTAGAGATATGATTCATACTAAATTATTTTTAAAGCCTCTTTTCTAGAAAAAAAATCACCACAGAGATAATCAACTTATTCTGACTACAAAGAAGCAACTGGAATGTTTCATAAATCATTTATTTTGGACTGGACAGAGGAATGTTTGTGTTTCTTAGCCAGATTTCCTAATACAGGTCAAAATCCTATTACAACAAATATTTTTATAATGGAAGTAGTCAACAACTATATTATTAAGTGCTTACTCTTTCAAGGCATTTAGGTGGTAGAAAATAAATCTCCCATGGATTCATCCTTCCCTTGTCAACCCTATAGCTTAAGAAGGGATATAAAATATCTTCAAGTTTTGCCTAGAAATGAACCAAGGTAATGAGAAAAAAAATGCAGAAAAGGATAACAGGAATAGAGTAGAGAATACAGAACATTAGAGCCATATTGGAAATACATGTATGGGACCCAGGCAAGAGAGCAGAGCAGGGATAAATAATTAATTCCAGAACCACAGTTGAGTGTTGTTGTTTTTGTGCCTATAACCTTTTAGTGCTAGGCTTTTCACAAGAATAGGTTCTGATTCTATTACTTAAATAATAAAAGGCAGACTGGTAAAGCTGGTCTGAAGAAAAAGTGACTGGTAAATGGACAAGGCTCAGACATTAGAGCCAATTCAGTCAGGGTTTGAGTTCTAGTCTGCTACTCACTAAGTATATAGCCATAGCAAGTTGCTTGATCTATTTGTGCCTCAGTTTCCAAATCTGTAAAATGTGGTCAGTAATTCTTATTTTCTGACGTATAGTTAATGTCACACCTATTATTCTTCCAAGCTCTTTGCAAGTTGCGCACTAAAGTTTGAGAGACTGCTTAGTAGACCACAGATAGTTTTTAGACAGGATCAGATCTAGATTCAAATTCTGGGAAGGTTGTTTAATTACTCTGTGAAATAATTTTGTAATGAAGATTAAGTCAACTAAAATGATAAAACAAATGTTTCCTACTTTCTAAAGGTCTTGTTTCCTACAGTATGTTTTGTCAAACTCCTATATGTTCTCATAGACCAAGCAGATAACAATTTTTGTTTGTTTTATTTTTTGCAGTATGGGGGAATTTAACCCACGGTTATTTACCACTGAGCTACCTTCCCAGCACATCCCCCCACCCCTGTTTTTAGACAGGGTCTCATCAATTTGCTGAGGCTGTCCTTGAATTTGTGATCCTTCTTGCCTCAGCTTCCCAAGTCATTGGGATTACAGGTGTGCACCACTGCCCCTGGCTGCAAGCAGATATTATTGATCTTTGCTTTTATGAGTATTTTATAAGACATGTAGGTGTATTGAATAATAGAGATAATACTAATAATAACTTAAACATCCTTGCTTATTCTTGCATGCCAGGATCTAAACTAACCATTTATATTATATAATTTTCACAAAAGCCCGGAGTATAGATACTACAATAATTTCTGTTTTACAGATAGAAAGTCTGATGCTTAGAAATTAATTATCTTACCCCAGGTAAAACAGCAATGTTAAGTTGATATTTGAATCCAGAAAATCTGACTCTAGGACAGCACTGTGCTATACTGTCTTCCACAAGATTCTGATAACTTCCTCAGAGGCAGCTGTCTGGCTCCCTTCCTTTGCTATAAAACATTTAGCACAGGGCACAGTATCCAACAGGCACTTAACAAATGGACTGCTCTCTACCTCTGCAGCTTGTCTCCTAAACATTGAGAGGTAAGGCCTGATGTTGCTTCCTAACCATAAGAAGTAGCTGCTTGCTGGAACAGATCAGAAGAGAAATCTTTGTAATAGAAACTTTTCCAAGTCTCTTCTTCGATCATTTGAAAACTAATTCAAATTTCTAGAATAATATAATTTTGATATTGCCTTGAAGTTTAGTATATTATTATTTGGCCTGTATTCCATAAATACACTAAATTGAATTCAGGTGATAATGAGGTATGATTTTTAAAAATGTGAAACTGTCCTTTCTTGATCTTCCCTTCACAGTTGTATTTGTTTCATGAGACACAAATCACCACCTGATATTTTATGTTTTGTGTTTATTTTTTGAACAATCTTCACCTAGTATATATGCCTCAGAAGAAGAGGGACTTCCATTTGCTCTTTCCCTGCTGTATCCCTAATTTTATAACAATATATAATAGGTGCTCAAAAAATACTTCTCATGTATGAGTGAATAAAATGTGTAAAGTACGAGAACTAACATTTAAATATTTTTTTTCTAGCTTGGATAAGACGAACAAGAAAAGTTCCACCTACAATGGAGGTAAGAATACCCCAGGAAAATATTCAAATAACGTGTTTATAAGTCCATATTTCCAAACTGGAGGTTTATATTCTCAAGTATATATGAAGCCTCAGAAAAAAAAAATGTGTAATGCATCTTCCCAGAGTATTCATTTTGCTCCATAGAAAATAATTTAAAATAGTTTATAATAACAAATATTTATACAATGTATTTAGCTAATATTGTTAATAAAATTTAGGATAAGATGAATGTACATTTTATGGAATATAACAAAATTCTCATAAATTTTAAAAATGAAATAGTAAAAATTTAAAGCAATATAAAAACATTTTATAGGAAGTTTGGACTTTCATCAAGTTATTTTCCCTGGACCCGGTGAGTTCTCCACTGATAGGCATGTTTCAACTGAAAAATTTGGGAAACACTGAATCTCCATGTCTCATCCAAATCATGCCTTTATATTGTCCTTAATTTTATATATTGAATTCTTATCATAAATCTTTAAGACTTCTTTTAACATTTTTTAGTTGCTGATGGACCATTATTTTATTTGTTTATTTATATACAGTGCTAAGAATCAAACCAGTGCCTCAGTGTGCAAGGCAAGTGCTATACCACTGAGCCCCAGCCCCAGCCCATTGAACTCTATCATAAAGCCAAAGAAATTTCAAAACATACAGCTAGCATGTGACGCATAATACTCAACTTAATAGTTGAGTTGTATTTCATTTAAAACTTTAAAAATATAGTTTGGTGGTAAAAAAAATAATAAAAAGCATAAAATTCTATGTTGTGTACTTTTCAAAAACATGAGTTTTTCATTATTTTTATTTTGAAACAATAACATTAAGAGTTCTAAAGTTATTTTGTAAGAAATAAATGTATTTCATAAAATTAGTGTCCAAGTTTGTTAGTATGACTTTCTACGTAGAGACATTCCCCTTTGTCTACTAAGACTCCCCTCCTCCATTCTCCTCACCCTTCCCTCACACCTGGAAACCCTAATGACAACATAAATGGACTTTAGCAGGCCGGGGTATTAGAGTGGCGACTTGGTGAGTGATGACTCATTACTTGGCATTTCTGCCCTTACATGCTCATTGTTATGGTTTAGATATTAGGTATTCCCCAAAAGCTCAGAGGTGAAATGGGTTATGAGAACCTTAACCCAATCAGTGAACTAATCCCAGTGGGATTAACTGAGTGAAAATTGATGGTGGATAGGGTGTGGCTGGAGGAGGTGGATCACTGGGGACATGCCTTTGATGTTCTGTATTTTGTATCTGGCAAGTGGAGTCTTTGTCTACTTTCTGATCTTCATGTGAGCTGCTTCCCTTTACCACACTCTTCCATCATGATGTTCAACCTCATCTTGAGCCCCAAGGAAGGAAACTGGCTATCTGTAGACTGAAACCCTCTGAAACCATGAGTCCCCAAATAAACTTTAACTCTTCTAAAATTGTCTTGGTAGGTCTTCTAGCCACAGCAATGAAAAAGCTGACTAAAACACTCATTCCTCCTACATTGACCCTGTCAGTATTCATTTGGCCAGTATCTGAATGAACACATCTCTTGGCCCATTTCTAACTTTGTATGTTGCTTTTGCCTTGACCTTCTTTTCTCACATCCTTCTTTTCACTATCATTAAGCTTTGGAACCCAAGGGATTTTTGTGGACGAAGTTGATGTGATCCAAGATTCAGAAGTATCCTTAAAGGTTGACAGCAGTAGAATGGATAGAGCAGCTCTTCTGATTCCCTTTCTCTTGATCACAAGAACTATTGTTCTCAAAGTAAAAGGTGCTTCCCCTACCCCAGAACTTTGAAAACCTTTTTCCATGGAAATATTGATATGCAAAGTAACTATATAGAAGCTATAATCAAGCCTCAGGTACCACCCCTGTAAATTTTAGGTAATTCCAGTACCTCAAATGAACTCCAGTCAGAACAATGAGACCAAGTCATTCCATTCATGACATTCATTGTTATCCTTCTTGATTATCCAAAATGAGCTTTCTCATGTTACCTCCCTTCTAATGTACTATTATTAATCACGTTGTTATTTAGAGGGTCAGGAGGAAGGAGAATTTCTAATTTTTTGTTAGCAAATTATCATTCACTATTAATATTTTCCTAGAAACTTTCTATACCACATAACCTCAACTAAAGTCTTCCTGTATATGAAAGACAGTCCCTTCTCTACTTGAAGTGAGTTGTGATGACTTTCCCACACCGCACAGATTCACCTGCTCCTTGCTTTCCCCAGCTGCTTCCAAGATATTAAGAGGAAAAAAAAAACTTTTAATGTAAAATAAACCATGTATACCAAAAAAAAAAACTAAAAAGAAGTGAATCCATCTAATGAATTATTATAAGGCAAGTCCCACCAAGTTGAGAAAAATAATTTTGCCAGCTCCAGAACCATGTGCCTCATCCCAATCACAAGTTCTTTCTCCCCATAAAAGCAACCCTGAAACGACTTTTATAGTAATATTTCCTCACATTTTAAATAATTTTATTGCACAGAAGTACACTATATGTACTTGACCATTTTTTGAAAACTCCCTACTTATTTTAAATTTCTTTTAGTTTATAGTTTCTGCTTCCATTTCTTTTATATCCTTACAAATTATATGTTGAAAAATTCAGCCCATTTGTCCTATAGAGTTTGCCAAAGTCTGATTATTGATCTTATGTTCTTGGAACAACTCAACATGTTCCTGAGTCATCTTTCTTCCAGAAGTATCACAACAGAGATAGTCTAATCCAGAAGCTAGATATTCCTGTTTGTTATTTTTGTTAAGAATGTAGGAAATATTTGGTAAGACATCATGTCTGGTTGTCTCTTTGTGATCTTAGCAATTGTCTATGTTTAATTCTTATATTTAATCATTGGGAAAAAACTCTTATTCTTGTAAACCTATTAAAACTGGTTAGTTTTCAAAATCATTTGAGAGTTCTATTCTTTCTCAAATTTCTAACCCCAGATTAACTTCCACCCATGTTACCTGTACACTGTGGCTAAAAGTTAGTAGCCATTATAATAAGGAGCATCAAAAGAATATATTCCTAGTAATAGTTTTACAAACAGTAAAGGGAAACCTGCAATATTTGAACTCTGCCTGCTTTGTTTTTAATATACATACTACATAAAAGGAGAAGAAGAAATTCAAGAAACTAATAGTGAATAGAGTTTGTGCTAATATTCTAAGGAAAGGTTGGGGTAATTGAGTAGACCACACATCATGTGCTTGTTTATTTGACCATATTCTCAAATATGGACTCAATTTTGACCAAGTCCACGATGATTTGGCTCATAAAGATGTGATCATAGGTACTAAAATGCATGTGAATTTCAGATGGTTGCTAGAATTCCAATATGCTGATTTAAAGAAAGAACTGAAACTGGTAAAGAGAAAAGCATAGTAGATTGCTTAGGGAGTATTAAATTAGAGTAAGGAGAATTACCTGGCACAGTGGTGAACACCTGTAATCCCAGCTACTCAGGAAGCTGAGGCAGGAAGATTGCCAGTTCAAGGCCAGCCTCTGAAACTTAGAGCAACACCTAAGCAACTAAGTGAGACCCTGTCTCAAAATTTTAAAAAGGCTGGAATGTAGCTTAGTGGAAAAGCAACCCTGGATTCAATCCCCAGTACCTCACCCCCATTCCCCAAAAAAAGAAAGGAAGGAAGAAAGTGAAGTAAAAAGTTTAATCATATCATGCTCACCATGCCGGTTGAAACAATCTCACATCAGAGATAGTTTAACCCATAGTGGTGGAAATAGCATTGGCTACACTTCCAGAAATCTCTCTCCATACTAGGAATAGCTAGATGTGAAATGGAATAGAAAGAAATACCAGGTGCTTGTTTAAGGTTTCTGCTCCCAGGGACATTGTTTTTATGGATTATCAGCATTTGTCTCTGGTTCTCCTTTTTTCTTTGCTTCCCCATTCTGACTGACTTTTTTTTTTCCCACTACGATAGTAGTTATATTATGGTCAAATGCTGCCAGCCCTGCAGCTATTCTCTTAGTTTACTCTTTTCATATCTCTGCTGTAGTCTATAATATGTCAGTCTTGCAATTTAACATTCAGAGAGGAATCTTTTTCTGAATTGTAAGGGTTATTTCAGTGTTGTCACCAAGTAACTGACATTTATTGAGTTCTCTGTGCTCCGTATTATTAGGCTTATTTTAGTTTGTAAGTTACAGGATTAAAATGTCTTAAGACTGATATTATGTATGTGTAAAATTCTGCTTTCCTACTGACTTAAATTACAAAGATGGAATGTATGTTCTCGTGGAAAAAACGGGCCCTATACCTCCACCCAAAAACTCACAATATCATTTTTAGGAATGCAGTGGAAACTGATCAGAAAATTGCAGCATGTTCATATCCTGGGATATAACATTATTCATTTAAAATGAATAAAGTGAGCCGGGTGCACTGGCACATGCCTGTAATCCCAGCAGCTGGGGAGGCTGAGGCAGGAGTTCAAAGCCAGCCTCAGCAACTTAGAGAGGATCTAAGCAACTCAGTGAGACCCTGTCTCTAAATAAAATAGAAAATAGGGCTGGGGTGTGGCTCAGTGGTGGAATACCCCTGAGTTCAAGCTCTGGTGTACCACCCCCACAAAAAAAAAAATGAATGAACTGGTGGGGATGTCACTCATTTGGTAGAGTGCTTGCCTAGTATTAGCAAGGACCTGGGTTCAATCCCCAGCACCACCAAAAAAAAAGAATGAACTACAGCTGTGTGTATCAATGTGGTTAAATCTCAGAAACATGTTATTGAGGGGGAAAAAAGTAAATTACAGAAGATTTCATACTGTATACCATTTATTTATTAAGTTTCAAAGTGGAGAAAGAATAGTGGCCTTCAAATAAAGAATGGCGATTTAAACACATGAGTTTAATTTCTCAAGTTGAATGAAAATGACAAGAAAGAGATTTATTTTAAAAAGATCTGAACCTACAAGGTCAAAAGGAAAAATCAAAGAGGTAAAAAGAGCACTAATAT